ATCTTATATCGCTGTCCCGAGGATTCGGAAGCTCGGGTGGGGGACTCATCGAGGTCGGCCCGCAAAATTCACTCGGTGAGATCCGTTTGGGCATTTTGGTATTGAGCTCTCCATTTCCCCACCAGGTCGAGAGTGTCTTTTGGCAGAGACTAGCCGGCGCATACGGTCTCAGAATACAGACGAAAAACCCGTCCCTCTATCGATTCGGAGGTTTCCAGAATGACGAGAGAGGGAAACTGAGAGAGTTCTTCAAGGTATCATTCCAATAGCTGATTCCCCAAGAAGAAGCTTGAACGTATGCCGTCCTCACGGCTGAGAAAATACCGCCGAGTACTTTGGGCTTCTGAGATTCATGAGCTGACTAATTCATCCTTCTCCTATAGGAGTTTTATAATTTGGATATGAAGACTAAGGAATTCTCTCTAACGGGTCGAAACTGGGGCACAGTTAACTTCGATCCGGTAGTATTGTCCTTCGATATCGACAAAGTACCAGCTTTCGAGGTAAGTGATCCTCCTATCCCGCAAGCTTTGTTTTCAGAATCGGAACCAGCCGATATTCTGACTCTTTCTCGGAACTTCGCGCAGATTCCGCTGGCGTACGTGTCGAATTGTTCGACGAGCAAGAATGAAGTCACTCTCGAGTTCCAACCGAACGATGACGCTCCCTCGTGCATGATGGAGATGCGGTTTTACGTCCCTACGGATCCGAATCCAGACGTTGATGCCGTCGAGGCCTTCAAAGCTAATGTCATGTCGGGGGCTGGCATCACACAAGCTACGGGAGACGCGATTGCCAACTTCAATGGCGTTCAGTGCCTCACGCCGAGAGGTGAGGACGGCGATCGAGGATCGATTCATATCTACCCTCTGGAGACTTCATTTCGCGCCGCTATAGGTCCCTTTCGCACTTCCAGGTCGCTACGACATCAAGATATTCACGACTTTCATCCAGCTCCATGGAAAAACCTTCGATTACAAAATACCTGTCAGTACGATACTCCGTATTTTTCTTCTCCCTCACAAGGATGGACGTCGGATGCACTTTGTTCTCAGTCTCGATCCCCCGATAAAGCAAGGTCAAACAAGATACCACTTCTTGATATTGATGTTCAACAAAGAGGACGAAGAAGATATAACTCTTTCTATGAGCGCTGGCGATCTCAAGGAGAAGTATGATGGCAAACTCGAAAAGGAGATGAGTGGACCCGTTTTTGAGACCCTCAGTCGAATCGTCAAAGCTGTGGTCCAGCGGAAGATCACAACGCCTGGAAACTACAAGAGCATGAATGGCACACCGGCTATCACGTGCACTTACAAATCGTCCTATGGATTACTGTACCCGCTTGAAAAGGGCTTCATGTACGTCCACAAACCTCCACTCCATATCCGATTCGAGGAGATCTCGTCAGTTAATTTCGCTCGGTCCGGCGGTTCGACCCGATCCTTTGATATCGAAGTACACTTGCGGAATCGGATAACTCATGTATTCTCGTCGATTGAGAAAGACGAGTACGATCGACTGTACGAGTTTGCCAAGAGCAAGAAGCTCAAGATCGGCAACAAACAGCGTGGAGACGATTCCGGTCCAGACGCCTACTTGCACAGGGTGAAAAGCGAGGCAAAGAAACGAGAGGATGACGACGATGATGAAGACAAAAGCGATGACGACTTCAACCCCGACAAGGTAGGTCCCTCGGAGCACCCCGGTTGTAAACTTATCGAGCCTACGCGAGAATCCTGGAGCTCTCCGAGAACTCACGGGGAGTATGACACTGAGCTTATATTGCAGGCTTCGGGGGGATCCGACGTCGGGGAAGAGTTCGACTCGGATCACGACTCATCGTCTTCCTCTAACTCGGGAGAATCGATTCGCGGGGGAAAAGCACCGTAGACCGCACCGCTTCCTGCTGGGACGCCTCCACCTCAAACTCCTCTCTCGAATCTGTTCAAGTTGTCCGAAACAACGCCCTCCGTGCCATCTTCGCCCTTCGTCCTCGCTCTTCAATCGCGCCTCTTTTCAGAAAACTGTATATATCAGGGGTATACCCATGAAATTAGAAAATTTCCAGAGAATACAACTTTTCTTCATGATCAAAGGGTAACGCCGACTTTATTAAAAATATGCACCGTCGGCAGCCACACATTTGGCCCATCTTTCCGGCAGATCGCAGATTCCCTTGCGGTAGAAGTCTCCGCCCTTTGAGGCAAACCACTCGTCGAGCCAATTCCTGACGTTTTCGTATGTTTTGAAATGCTGGTTGGCAAGTCCGTGCCCCACCGATGCGAACAAGTGGTAATCGGAAGGGGCCATGTCCGGTGAGTACGCGGGATGGGGTAGGACTTCCAGGTTCAGAGCAGCGAGAGTTTCTTTGGTGGCTTTGGTGGTGTGACTGGGCGCGTTATCATGGAGGAGGATTCTCTTCTCGTGACGGCTCAGAATCCCTGGACGTTTCTCACTCAAGGCTCGCTTCATATCGATGAGCTGCTGCTGATAACGAACTGTATCGACTGTTTCCCCCGGTTTCAGCAGCTCGTAGTAGATTATCCCGTCTTGATCCCACCAGACACATAACATTGCTTTTTCCCGTATCGATCGGGCTTCACAGTCTCCGGCGCAGCCTCCCCGGGGCTAAGCCACGCCGATCTACGCTTGGGGTTCTCGAAGAAAATCCATTTTTCGTCACTAGTGATGATTCGATGTAGGAATCCTTTCTTCCTCAACCTAGCAAGTAGATTTTTGGCTACGGTTTTCCTTCTTTCCTTCTGCCGTTCGTTAAGTTCATAAGGTATCCACTTGCCGAACTTCTGGATTTTCCCCATCGCAAGGAGTCGCTTCGAAATGGTTTTTTGAGTGACCTTCAGTCTCTTCGCGAGCTCCGCTTGACTTTGCGAGCAGTTTTCATCCAGCAGTTTCTGCAGATCATCGTTCCCAAACTTCTTCGGAGGTCGCCCACGAGTTCGATTGGACAGGTCGAAATTGTTGGCATCGAACTTTTTGTACCAATTGTAGCATTGTGCTAAGCTCAAGGCACGCTCCCCGAAAGCTGTAACCAGCATTTCATGGGTTTCAGTTGCATTTCTTTTGAGATTGTATGCGGCAACCAGGGTTCCCCGCAAAACCACCTTTTCCGGCACGTAGGAACACATCGTCATCGCAAATGATAATCAAAGCTAGACGAAATTCGTTTCGCCTAACGGTCGTCATTGTTAGGCGAGATTTTGATTCAAATCAGAACACAGGTTTGGCGTGAAAATTCCAACGACAATCAGAGCTAGCGCCGACCCGCGGATTTTCTAATTTCATTGGTATACACCTGATATTCAGGGTACTCAAACTCTACGGTGAGTGCGTCGCCTGTCTCGCTCTCCTATGTAGCCGAGTAGCTCTCATTTCCTCTCTATCTACCCGAGGAGCTCTAATGCCCTCTCTATATACCATCGAAAGTCTCTTAGTTTCTTCGGGAGCCTCCCGTTTGCTCACCATACGTTCTGCTCAAATGATCACCGAATCTCTTAAACTGTCCCATCTGGTCACCCTAACTGAGGTATGGAACTCCAAACCCCCAGAGCTGCGTATCGCCAGGAGTCCACTGTCCAGGCCACACTGTTCACTGTTGAGAAAACTGCTCAAAAAGCACTTATTAACCCTGGAACACACGCGGCGTAAGGCCTGTGGGCTTTTGCAAGGCCCTCAGCCCCCTTGGATAAGTCTATTATTAAATAAATGAAACTCTCCGATATATGCTCCCTCCTGTGTGCGATCGCACGGGACCGCGATATTGCGGAAGATTTCTCCCTTCATCGTGAAGAGTCCGGAGAGCAGCGCCGCCCCGCGACTTGAGACGTCCGTTTCTACACCCAACTACGAAATGTTCAAGTTACTCATTCTTGGCGTGGGCCAACGTCGCAAACATGCGAGAGCGATAGTGAGGTTTCAGTATTGTGTAGGTAGCTTATGCGACGTCGAACCCGGTCATCGGATGAGCATGTCTCCGACGGCATCACCGTCCAGGGATGGTCAAAGTTTGAACAAGGTTTATGGAAGGATGGATTCTCAAGACTCAAGACGATGGAGCGTCGATACTGGTCCATGACGAGATCCTCAGTCAGCAGGCTTCCGGGAATCCAATTCTCATGAGCCCCTCTCCAATGAGCACCCTCTCTGATTGGCTCGGATTGGCTGAGTCATGATCATTCGGCTCCGAGACTGATAGCGCGTCGCTGGGCTCCCCTCGGGCGCTCGCTTGCTCCGAATGGAGATGCCATAGAACCTGTGACAACCAGATCTTAACCCTGGGAGTCTCTCTGCGTTTGCGTTTGAGTCGGGCACATCCTCCCACCATGATCACAATACACCCAGAGCAGCGGAAGCAGTTCCGAGCTTCGTCTCCCCGGCAACCTAAAGAAGCCTCCGGTAAGTCCCAGGGTATTGAAAAGTCGGACAAGTCGCCGGACTCCTGGATCATTCTCAGTTTTCCATCATTCGAGCTTGCCTGTAGAACTCACGTTTTGGTTGTCAGTGTCACCTTATTGATTGTCTCATATTGCGCTCGGGGCTTCCGCGCATATGCAACGGCGTGAGACGGGGTGGGCGAGTTGGAATTGTACTCTCCTGACCCTGCTCCGCTGTTGAGCTAAGCTTCCGCCCGTAATTACTCCGCGTCCGCATTCAGAGAGAGTTCCAATACCAATCTATCGAGACTCATCTCCCGTGGCAGGCCTTGGTGAAGAATTTTTACAGTCAGAAGAAACGTCGCCTGAGCCCGACGATATGTTCCAAGCTCTCGAAGCCGCCGGAAGATTCGATCAACGCGAGCTGAATGATCTTGTGAGAGACCTCCGCTTGCCGAAGGAATCTGCTGAGCTCTTGGCGTCGGGATTGAAGGAAAAGAACATGCTGAAGCCGCGTACGATGAGCAACCCAGATTGTTGAATTGAAATATACGAGGTGAAAAAAAGTCCAAGCGGGCGTCCTTGATGGACCTCAGATTCGTAGGTTGATCAAAGATCCTGACTTCGTGAAGTCAATGAACGTACAGGAAGCTGAAGCTTGGGAGTCGTTCGTTCTTGTCGTCCAGGAATTCCTCGGAAACACGAGAGCTGAAAACTACGTCGTTCTGGTTCAGAAAATGCTCCGAAGCTTCCAAGTTCTCGGGTGTCGGATGAGTATAAAACTTCACTACCTCCATAGCCATCTCGACCACTTCCCCCAGAATCTCGGCGCAATGAGTGACGAACAAGGAGAAAGGTTCCACCAGGACATAAGCACCATGGAAGAGAGATACCAGGGAAGATGGGACACCTCGATGATGGCCGATTACTGCTGGAACCTTATGCGAGAAGCTACTGATCGACCCCACTCCAGACAATCCCTCACGTCTCCTTTCGTCGGTTCCGATTCACCGATTCCGAGCTCTAGTTCAGATCGGACGTGTTGAGGGTTCCTAGTGTTTTTTGCGAATAAAAAACCAATGGATCATCCGATCATGCTCAAATTTGTCTTAAAATGTTCGTATTGGAACTCGCTATGGAACTGTCGAGGGTAGAGAGGTTCTGAGGAGATAGTTTTTTTGTCAGCCCTTGGCAAAGAGGCTTGCCATCCGCATTTTTCAGCCATTTTCGAACTTTGATGCTCTCTAGCTCAGAGACTGGTGCTCCGAATCACACGAAAATTCAACCAGAGATAGACCTGGGATGGGCCTAAATGTTCCCCAATTTTCGTGGATCTTGCTCATCGTGAAGCAGGAAAAAAAAATTTTTGAGGGAAAAAATCACGAAAATCCGAAAAATTGATTTTACGGAAAAACTAGACCTGATACGAGAAAACTGTTCACAGATTCGGAATGTACGGCCCCCATTTACCCCTACCTAGGTCTCACCTATTCTGTTGGGTTTTGGCTGTCGGGCAGTGTAATACGAGATTTAAATGGAGCGGATTCAAATTGTAAATTCAGACGTTCGTCAATAGCGGTCGACCGCTCTATTTCGGACCGATACTCTTCATGTGGGCTAGCGCAACTTGCGGCGAGAAAATCCCCGAGGGAGGCAGGAAACCGCCTGATTCTTCCTGAGCTCGGCTTTATCCAGTCTCGTGCGAAGTAGTGACAGAAAACAGGAAATCCGCCCTCATCGAGAATTTTCAATCACAGACGAAATTAATGACGGCAGCGAACCAACACGCTCACTGCCGACGAATGAGGGAATCTAAATGGAGCGGAATAATTGGAGCTCTCCTCACTCGCGAAATATTCGAACGAAAAATTATTTCAAGAGTTGTGAAGCAATTGAATCAGGACTGGAATTCTCGACCATGTACGAGAATTATCACATTCACGATGTCATCCGTGAGTGGATTCCTGATGCTCGCGGAGCCTACGATCGGATATCACGGGCCCGGGTCAAGACTCATGACGGACATTCTCCGTCGCTCCCTCGAAGTATTACTTTTCATGACGAGGCTCCTTTGTGTCATCTTGCGTCGGTGAATCGACTGGATCGCCATTGAATCGGCCCATTCTCTCGAAATCCGGAACATCATCTGATACCTGCGGTGTGCAAATACTCTGGTGATTCATCCGGATATCAACTTGGGTTCGACTCGGACTCGGTGCCTCAGATCTCAATCAAAGTGGAGAATGGAAATGAGAAACGACGCGGTTAAAGCTCCCCCCACAATCCGAAGAAAGTTCTAAAGGAAGATCCGCAGTCATTCATGCTGCAATTCGTTTCGGAGTTCCGATGCATTCCTGTGAACTCAGCAAACTCCCAGTAGGCTCAGAGCTGCTCATTACTGACGGCTCGTCATCGCGCTCGTTTTCAAAGACCTGTTATTAAGTCTCGTCTGGATCATGATAATCGCCCGACTTGAGGCGCTGTCGGCTGCCGAGAAAGTGTGGCCCAAGCGACTCCCGGGGGGAACGTTCGGAGGGGAAATTCGCAGACGATTAAATTGAAATAATAGCCATTCAAGGCTTTCTCAAGACCCCGTCGCTGGGGAGCCCATTGAGATCTCCAAGGGTCGGCCCAACCGCTCGACCGATGGGTCGAAGTTTTGGACGCGGAGCACTCCGTTCCCGGCATCCGCGAGAAAAAAATGA